TAATAATAATAATAATATGGACATAAACTATGTTTATTTTACCAAAGACAGTGCATTGTGAAATGTACTTAAAGTTTGGTACATATTCAGTCCTAATGATAAGGGGCTGTAATGAAAAATAGTTTACTTTAAAGATTTTGTTGTTTTCTTATGCCCTGTTAATTATCACGTGCCAAAATTGCTAATTGGAACACCAACTTGTATGACACTGGCATTATGCCAAATCAATGACGCGTTAACCAGTACGAAAAGCCTAGAGTCATATCACTTCATGCAAACTTAGATATAATCTGTACCTGACGCACTTATTTATCGTAATTAAGCTTACATATCATGTCACATTCACTGTGTAAATGCAAAGAAGTTATTTCTAAAACTTGTAAACAATTTCTTAATCAAACATAGACCATTCTTCACTATTATTTGAATTTTGCATAAAATTCCCTAGCTGTTCTCTTGAATCCGATTGCTTACTTGAAGATCGTAGCGGCGATATAGTTTCATCATTTAAATATCTGATATAATGAGACAATAAAGAATTATTTTCTTATGCCACATTATACTACTACTATGAGATGATAATACGATCAATGGCCAAGATCTATGCTAACACTAGACTAGACACTTAATCATTACATTGTACACAGACTAGATCACATTATAACAGGACACACTATTCACAACTGAATATAAAGAACTAAAGTAAAGACTAAAGAATACTTTATTTTTTTTAAAATTTCAATCAGTCTATACGCAATGTGTTCAGAGTAGAACTCCAGGAAATGAAATCACATATCGAATACTTAATAAGATGTGTATCTGTCTGCCGACGTTTCCTTAACCAATCATATTCTACTTCTACTAGCACACTTATTTATTTATCTAAACAAAAAAAACATTAGTATGAAGAGGTACCAAATAAATATTCGCCATATGAATCATCCGATTTGTGTGAGGGCTATGATACTGCTCGGCTGTCCAAACCGAAGCAGGTGGTTTTCCTATGGGGTCACACCCAGAGCCTTTGACCCAAAGGTCTGATCCACAAGGCAATGGAACAACGTCAGAACGTGAAGTCACATGGTAGCTAGTAACCAACGATTGGTTTGGAATCGATGTTTTCCAACTCCCCTAAATGGACTATTCGTGTCTACCAACGCGGTTAAAGCGTCGGACATTTGCTTTTGATGCTCTCAATGTCGTAAACAACACCCGTGGTGCGAGAAGGCATTGAGTAGGACTTCTCTGTCAGTGATTGTATGCACGTGTCCATATGAGAGTATTTCGAGAGTGAGAGCTAACTCTCCCCCACTGTCGACCGTACCAAGGTATTTAGGGGCACATTAATAATCTCTATTCACTTATATACATTATTGTTGTTTAAAGTTCTCAGTTATCATTTATGTCAACAAGTTCATTTATTCATTATTATTATTATTGTTTCATAGGTCTTATCAATGTTCTAACACGTAATCCAGCATTAAGAATTGTTACATCAGAAATTCATCCAGTTGTACCAAGTCATTTTGGTCAACGTTATTTTGGTACATTTTAATCTAAACTATGATATATTGTATTTTTCTTTCTTTTCTTTTCTTTCATTGCATTACTATCCAATCCTTTTATCATATCAGGTTATATAACAACATGATATGCTTTACTTCAATCTAAACACACACCCCCAGAGTAATATCACAACTAAAACACATAAATCAAATCACTTATGTAACATTTATTGTATTCTGTGCCATCCACCCACGCACACACACACACACACCTCCTCCTTCTTTGTATCAGTATGGATATATATTCAATGTCATATTGATTATTGAATAGTTTTCTTCTTTATTATTCTTTATTTGGTATTATTTCTATTTCACAATGAGATCTTTTCTTTGTATACAATGCATGTAATGCCCTAAATATCATGATCTGTTAGTTATCATATTTAAACAACAAGGTAAATGAACCAAAAAAGAGAGTATTTTGAAATTTATAGGAAATTGTAAGTTTTAAAGAAATAAAAACAATCTCTATAAAACCCCCACCTTCTGATAATGATCGTCATGTGCTCAAGATAGATTTCCTGGAGTTCCGGTTAGAAGCCGTGACCAATGTAAACAATGGTGGAAGGTGGAGCATTATCATTGGTTGAAGTTAGACATTAACACTGTTGAATGCCGGTTGACTCACTGGTCTAGAGGTTAAGCGTTCGCACGCTTGACTAAAAGTCTTGGGTTGGAATTCCACGAGCAGGATCGTGAATGCACACTGCTGAGGAGTCTCACAACAGGATGAAACGGTCGTTCAGTGATTTCAGGTTTTTCATAGTGGTCTAGTTCTAATCGACTCACGAGTTGAACTACTAGAAAACAATCATTACAAACAGAGCTGTTAACCATTGTCTTCATGACAATTAATTTACGGTAGAATCATGTATCTGAAGTCTAATTACACATTTAAATGTTGGAGATGATCATAGATTGTTCTTATTTGATCATAAATACTATTGAAACATGGCTTGTTTATGATTGAACCATTCACATAAAGTAGTATTAAGGTAGAAATGCTATCGTTTGATCACGAGATTTCAATCTTCATTCATTGAATTAATTGTAGCATGCATCACATATAGTTATTAACTTCCCACTATGATGTACTTTGTTAGCCAGTATAGGATTAATAGTCGATGTAAAGTGGCTAAATATTATACTGAACAATGTTTGTAAGTGATAAACTCCTGGATGTAAACCTTGAAGTATTCATTAGATTATTCTCAATCTACAATTTAGTATTACCCCATACTTTCCAATTATATCCTTGTAGCTAGCTTGGAATCCGTTTCCTTTTCCATGTCTTTTATTGTGGTAACCTGAATATACGTATATTGATAGTGTAGTTCTTCAATTTCAGAGAAAAAAACTCCATCCAAATCATTCACCTGAGCTACGAATCTCCATGTATAAATCGTTCTAGACTATGTATTGCTAATAAGTAATCTGATGGAATCATCAGTCGTTCCTCTCTGAATTACTAAATGGTTTTACCTGCTTGATCAAGAAACCTTTCTGTCGGTGAGTAGTACTTCTATGCTATAGAATGAGTACGTTTTGTAGTTCAATCCACAGAGTTGTACTTGGCTTCAATTTTAATCTTTAGAATGATGATTTTCTCGTGAAGTGAACTGTTTTGGGTTAGGATTGTTATATAAAAAGTTTTAGGGTTTGAAGGTTAGAAGTTGAGCTTTGAAAGTTGTAGGATTTTACTTCCATACAAAACTATGATATCTAGTCTAAATAGTTGATATCTTCGATTGATCAATTCCTAGGTCATCCTTAAAATCGCTTAAGGTCTTCCGTATAGTATTGATTCATTTGGATTTTCCATCATATGCTGGTAACATTTCGATTATATGATTCATCAAACATGTAGGAATTACGACTATTGTCTACTATCAAAGACCAGGCTTCACAGCCATGAAGTGAGAGGGAGTGAACGGCTGCCAATATCGTCTTTCCGTGGTTGAGTATTGTATCAACTTTGATTATTGTCTATCTAATTACATTTATACATTTAACAACACTGTTATATGGCCCCCATATGCCCTGGTACGGCTGAGAATGGAGAGAGTCAACTCTCCTCGAAATGCTCTCACATACAACCCCTACCAGAAGAATCCTACTCACTGCGTCCTTGCATCACGGGTATTGTTTACAACATGGACGAAAAGCGAATGGCCGACGCTTTAACCAGGTTGGTGGACACAGAGTACATCTAGGAGAGTTGGAAAACCCTCATTCCAAACCAATGGTGCACATGGGCTCCAATATCCTGAAGGAACAAATGGCGTATGAACCAATTGTTGGTCACTGGCTACCATGTGACTGCATCTCCTAACGTTGCTCCACTGCCTTGTGGATCACACCTTTGGGTCAAAGGCTCTGGGTGTGGCCTCCTAAGAAAACCACCTGCTTCGGTTTAAATAAATAATACCCTGTTATATCCCGATAAGAATAATGAATGGTAACTGTTGAGATCTACTTCTGGACTAATACTATACTCATATTTTTATTGTATAATTGTTAAGTAACTAAACCATACACATTCATGTTCCTCCTATTATTTTTACTCATAGGCCATTATCATACAATTTACTGTTCTTGAGATATTCCTAATTTATTAGTAACAGCCTCTTATATTCAAGGCCACTTTTGGCTAGATATTGTACAAATGTTATTTTCTACTTTATGGTGCGATGATAGTCTGTTCAGTTTGTATATAAACCCAATATGTTTAAAATTCATGATTCATATCGTGAAGGTTGAGATTTGTGTTCCAAACTCAACATTCAGATAGGGTTAGATAGGAAGCAGGACCGATATGAACTTTAGACTGTTCGTACAAGTTTACACATCATTGATCCAGTCAATAAATCACTGTTCTTTAATTGCCGGTATCATCATTACGTCACATGTTGATAGAGAGACAACTCACAGCATACATTGTAGACTTCGTGGTGAGACTATAATTTTTGGACGACCTTTGAGCGACGCTGAAGTGACCTTGAGAGTGAACAACTTCTAATTAGGATTAAATGAAGGTTATAAAGCAGTTAGAATTCCCATTTACAGTTGATGGTTAAGGTTAAAAATTAGACTTAGGGTGTTGCATCACGAACTGACATCAGTTTTATAATGCCAAAACTCTATTTAGCCAAATGGATGGATGAATTCCGCGCCCAAATTCGTGACTCGTTATCTTATATTGGATTGATTCGTCCATAAATTATAGTCTGGCCGACTTTATCAACTCTAACACAGATATTTCACTGGTCGAAATCATGAATCAATTGAAGCTAGACCATCATGGAAAACCTAGAAGCACTGGACGGCTGTTTCGTCCTAATATGAGACTCCTCAGCAGTGAGCATACACAGATAGTTATAACACAGTTCTTGATCAAAAAGAAGAAAACAATCAATAATATCATACAAATATTTAGTTGAAAATGCTTCATTCATTGAAAAAGATTCAATGATCTTTACAATAAGAAAAGATACTTTTGTTTATCATAATGGATTTACAATGATTACGTAATACTATGGTTGCTATCGGTATATTCACTGAAGTCAGTACCCGTATCTAAAATGAAATAATCCAATGAATATTGATTAGTGTTATTGAATTGATTATATTGTGTAAAAGTTTATTTATGATATGTATGTTGGTCACGTAACAGAGGTGAATGAGTTATATGTCATGTTAAATGTAATTACTAACTAGTAACAGTAATCAGTATACTATTCTATTAACTCCGCCTAGAGACCCTCTTGGGATACTGCCGGTCTCAAGACCGGATAAAGGGGAAGGGTTGGACATGGGGTTAGCGACCTTATCCCGTAGAAAACTAACTCGCTAAAAAAACAATAACCAGAAATATAATTTTATTCTATTGTCCTTGGTACTAATTGTATTCATTTAATTAAGATGTAGTGTGATCATTATTTATTTGTCAATTATAGAACAGCTCATTAGTTCGGCTTTCGAAATCGTTCATCGTTTTGTTTCAACGACTTTGAATGACTTGACAAGAAACTGTTATTCCGTATTTCAACTGCTGTGGGTTTGCTAGGTACAAAATAACTACTGAAAGCATTGATTTGGCTATCTCTGTTTTGTAATGTGAAAACTACAGAGGCATTACACTACTGTCAATACCAGGGAAAGTCTTCAACAGATTGTTGCTGAACCGGATGAAGGATGCAGCAGACGCCCAACTTCGAGATCAACAAGCTGGATTCCGTAAGGATCGGTCGTGCACAGACCAAATTGCAATACTACGGATCATCGTCGAACAATCAGTTGAGTGGAACTCATCACCATACATCAACTTCATTGATTATGAAAAGGCATTCGACAGTGTAGATAGGAGGACATTATGGAAACTTCTTCGAGAGTACGGAGTTTCTGAGAAGATTTTCAATATTATCCGGAACTCATACGACGGACTACAGTGCAAAGTCGTGCATGGAGGACAGCTGACAGATGCATTCCAAGTAAGGACCGGAGTCAGGCAAGGCTGTTTACTCTCTACCTTCCTCTTTCTTCTGGTGGTCGACTGGATTATGAAGACCTCAACATCTGAAGGAAAACACGGAATACAATGGACAGCTCAGAATCAATTAGACGATTTGGACTTCGCAGATGACCTAGCCCTCCTATCACGTACACACGAACAGATGCAGATGAAGACAGCCAGTGTAGCAGCAGTCTCTGCATCAGTAAGCCTCAGCATACACAAAGGGAAAACCAAGGTCCTCAAATTCAAAGCGGAAAACAGCAATCCAATCACTCTTGATGGAGAAACTCTGGAAGATGTAGAATCCTTCACATACTTGGGAAGCATCATCGATGAACAAGGAGGTTCAGATGCAGACGTAAAGGCGAGGATCGGCAAAGCAAGGGTCGCATTCCTACAATTGAAGAACATATGGGACTCAAAACAACTTTCAACCAACATTAAAGTGAGAATTTTCAATACAAACGTCAAGGCAGTTCTACTGTATGGAGCTGAAACTTGGAGAACTACAACAACCATAATCAAGAAGGTACAAGTATATATAAATAGCTGTCTACGCAAGATACTCAACATCCATTGGCCGGATACCATCAGCAATAGCCTTCTGTGGGAGAGAACAAACCAACTTCCAGCTGAAGAAGAAATTAGGAAAAGACGATGGAAATGGATAGGACATACATTACGCAAATCGTCAAACTGCATCACGAGGCAAGCCCTAACTTGGAATCCTGAAGGGAAGCGGAAAAGAGGAAGACCAAATAACACATTGCGTCGGATAATAGAAGCAGATATGAAAACGATGAATTACAACTGGACGGAGCTAGAAAGGATTGCCCAGGACAGGGTTGGATGGAGAATGCTGATGAGCGGCCTATGCTCCTTCACGAGGAGTAACAGGCGTAAATGAATGAAATGATGTTCTGTAGTGTACACGTTGGACATTCCAGTCGACGTAAGCAAGGCGTTTCAACGTATAATACAGAATGAGCATTACGGAAGCTGGGTTGAATTTGATAATGCACTAAAAGAATTCCAAAAAAGTATGGAAGAATAATTTTATCCCTTCTCAAACTACCCATACTCATTACATTCACATCGAAAGTAAACTGATGAAGTACATGAGAATTAAATACTTGTTTGTGATGTTTCATTGCATATTTGGTCATAAGCGTAAATCAGAAGATCTGACAGTGAATTAAAAACCGTGAGAACTTTAACTAATATGTGACGTTTAAGTTTCTAAACTGTCAATCAACATTCCATTTAAGATTGGAAGGTGAAGAATATGTTATAAGATCATACAAGATGCTTCACAATCATCTTTGTAGTAGTTCATGGATGGTTTGTGATCCATAAACTAGAAGATTGTCCTCAGAAGTAAAAGCAAATTTGAAGCTGACGATATTGCAGTCAAAATCAACAGATGAATTAATAGAAAATATTAAGGATCGAACTGGTAAGCAAGTCATTGCTACTGATGTGAAAACTATGAAAGCTCAACTCTCCACAAGTAGGTGTATAGGGTATATTTCAGGTTGTTTTACGTGAATGATGTTAATTCACTTGGTATTGTTTTACTTGAATCTTCCCATTGATGTTTAGGACTGCAATTGATCAGTTTCTTATTGACATATGTGCATATTGTGCGTATTACTTCGATATTGCCTCAATTCACAAGCATTCTAAGCAAAGATGGATAGTGGCTAGCAGTGGAATCCACGATTCCTAGATCCAACATGAAACTAATTAATTGAAGTCCAGCTGACGAGTCCCAAATAGGACAAAACGCACATCCTGGATTACACTGCTAGCCACTATCCATTCTAATGCGATATCAAGGCAATCGGCACAAGATGCGCATATACTAATAAGAGACTAAACAATTGCAGTCCTAAACATCAATGAGAAGATTTAAACAACCAATACAACAATGAATTCAACTTCACATCACTATATAAGCTAGTGGATAAAGCGATGGCGTTTTTAAGCGAACGGCACCGGGTCCGAGTCCCAGAGTGAACATCAACTCTGAATTACAGGTACATACAGCTGACGAGTCTCAAATAGGACGAAACATACATCCTGGATTACACTGCTAGCCACTATCCATCTTTGCTTTTAATTATGATGTTAATTGTTATTCAATTATCAATCAGTGCAGATAATTCAGCCCATCAGACATTCAGTTGTATGTTGAATTAGACAATGAAAACGTCCATCTATCATTATGATGACACACAAAAATACTGTCTCATAAAATAATCAGTAAATAATAAATTTGTCATAGAATAGAGTAAAACTCCACCTGGAGAATCTCTTGGGCTACTGCCGGTCCCAGGTACAGGTAAAGGAGGGGGGTTGGGCATGAGGTTAGCGATCCCATCCCATAGAAAAGTAACTCGCTAAAAAACGTTTCGACTTTGCTCTGGGAGTTAGTAAGTCGTCAGTTAGAAGAGTTGTGACGCCACATGGTGAAAGACGAGTTCCTTCGGAAGTCACGAAGCTGATGCCCCTTCTGACAACCAGAGCAACCATTAATTTAGATACATGGAGTGCTCGTACATTGTGAGAGACCGGGAGAGTCTTCCAAATTTCTGCAGAATAGAGAAAGTCACTTGATAAAGCTGAACTCTCTCTTGGCTATCGACATAAACGTGATGATCAGCATGAAGGTTGTAAAATTGACAAATTTTATTAGGACCACAAAATGATCTAAATTAAATCACCACTAGAAACAAGAAAGCATTGAATAGTCGTTTCATGATAGTACAGAACTCTTCAGCAGTGAACACCTACAACCCAACCGAGAATCGAGATCAAGATTTTCAGGTTTCGTGGAAGTTTGGCCATGGATGAACATTTCAGTGGAGTTCCATACTAGAAAGAAACAGTGTTCCAGTACTTCTGAATTTTCGAACTTACACTAACTCCTGACTTCAATAAAACCGAAGACATAATTTATATATATTCCATGTTAATTACGCTCTTTATAATCCAGTTCGTTTCAAGGTATACAGACACACATAAAAACAATAAATAAATACTTTTTTATTAATCTGAAATTTCTAGATTCAATCGTACATTGAATTATAGATCTATGTTACTGTAAAATCCTAAACCTAAACGTCAGTCAGTCAGCTAAAACGTAAGACCAGGCAAATATATGTACCGTTGTTGCTACCTTGACGTGATGGTCGGATTTGCTTATCGTGATGAACCAATCGAGCTATACTGGCTGCAACAATCGTTCCTCAAGGTCCTACAATGCCAGACAGGTCGGTTGAAGTACGGTAAGAGAAAAACTGCAGACACAAGGCCCGAAGGCGAAGTCGTACTGCTGACTGTAAAGAGGTGTGACGGCAGTAAGGTGTTTCCTTCAGACAACTAGCATGACAGTGATGCTGCCTTCCCACAAGGAGGGTTGGAGTTAGAAAAGGTCCACTCTAAAAATGCCCAACTCACATTATCTCACCGATATCCGTCTCCGGTGGTAAGGTCTCAACAAGTATGGAAATAACACAAAAATTACTCACAAAATGATCTTGTGTGACCGAGTTAAACCAGTTGTCCCTTGAGCACTGCACTCACGCTCTCAGGTCACTAATACCACCTCTAATCCAATTTCGTTTTCAGGTACTTCTAGAAAAACCCTTTCACAGTGTGGACAACCGGGAAATGATAACCGCCCTCATACGTCTAACAGCACTGAAGACCACTGAATTCATAATCAATCTCCCTCTTCATTTCCTATTATTCCTTTTACACCAACTTTCAATCATAAACTTCCTCATTTGGCTTTCACCTCAAGTGTTGCCATAGTCAACGATTTCAGTGCGCAACACACTGTACCAGGTCTACGGAAAAAGCTTTTAGTGCTTTAGTGCTATCAATGACTCTTCAGATGGTGTTACTTCATTCATATTATAATCTTAGAACTCTACAAAACTTTCATCATCACCACTGTTTTATGATTTAGATCTGTAAAACGTTTTACTGGAAAGTTTAAATTCAAAGAATCAAGTAGGTTTTCCTGGGTGGTGAGATGATAAAGACATCAGATTGT